GGTGTGAACTCTTAGGACTTAGCCAATTGTAGCATTTCCATGGTGATTTTCACACAGTTTGCTTCTGGCGTCGTCCAAAATTTTTGAGTTCTTCATGGCGTGACCCCTCAAATTTGGAGGTCACACGTCAAACTCTAATAGACTGAAGAGTTTTATGACACAAAATTTGGAGCGGGCCTCACGTTGGTCGTCTTCAGTTTTTTTTTTTGTTTTTTTAGTTTGTGAGCAAGTGGCTCCAACAAGTTTCACACTTGTGAGCACACTACTCAACGATATCCCCTCTTTCTCTTAACAGATCGCCAAACATTTTGTAGATCCCATTTGAAATCTGATTTGGGCCTATGGAGTGTGACTGGATCCGTGGTGCATAGATACCCGGGCCAGGCAATAACTAAAGAAAACCTCCTAAATAGGAGTAAATCATTAAACATATTCCCAAAATAGGAGTACCAAACTTAAATGCCCAAAGTAGGTGTTCAACTTAAATTAAATAAAAACATAGCATGTTGCACGCCTATGTATTTATTCTAGCGGTGCTCCAATAAAAAACAAAACTTGGGGAAAAATCATCCTCCATTCCACCTATTTTGCGGATTCAGCTTCTTCGTTCCATTACAATCTCCACCGCCGCCACCGTACCCAATTGCAGCGCCATCACCGTTGCCACCCTCACCCCTCTCAGGCTCTCAGATTCGTCGTCCCACCGCACCCCTCTCAAAGCTACCCCGCTGCCCCACCCCTATTTCCTTCTCAAAGCTTTTTATTTCAAGAGTGAGCGGATTTTTTCTCAATCTTTAAATGAATTTATTTTCTTTAAATTTTGTTTGGATGCCTTGGGATCGCAATTTAGTGTTGAAAAACGGGGTCCACCACCGTCATGAGCAGTTGATATCCGATCGCCATAAAGGTGGCTGTGAAACGTGTGATGGTTGTCGGAAGTCGTGCAGGGCATTGGGTCGGATTTGGCATTACTATGCATTTGTGTGACACTGTAAATTTGCATATATGACAATACATATGGGCATTGGTGGCATTATGCATTGTCATTTATGATATCATGTGGTGTTATAGTTGACATTATATCTTTTTTACACTGTATATGGAGGTAAATGTGGCATTGTAAAATTGACATAATAATGTTGGCAATGATGCTTGAAAGTAGTTGTGATGTTCGGTCTTAATGGTTGGAATATCATTTATTTTATCAACAATTAAATATAGTAATACATTAAAATCGGGTAAGAAATAAATTAAATCCCAACGTGAGCATTACGGTGAGATAATTCAAATGAGTGATGAAATTTTATTGTTCCAAGCTTTCATATTCCATTATCAAGAATATGCAAAAAAATGAATGAAAGTAGGAGAGAAAAGAAAATCCCAAATTAATAAAAAGGCATTATGGCAAACGAGAGAGAAGGATATTTTTTAAAAATAGTTAGCTCCTTCATGCGTCTAGTGCATTTCAGAGCAGTTCAATAGTTTATACGGAGTATTTGGAAAGGGGCTGGCAGCACACCGTTGGGAGTAAAAACAACTCCTATTTTGGGGATTTTTCTTTTCTACTCCTATTTTGATATAGTTAATGTTTTGCTCCTGTTTTGGTCCTTAACCCCAGTAACTATCTTATTTTCTTGACTTGAATAGTGTTACCGCAGCCTCAAAGGTCGTGAACTCTACAAGAGAAGGCAAAAAAGACTTCGAGGAGCTGGTAGGCGATGACGAGGTGTGGCCATCTGTGGTAGCAACCTCCGATCTACGCAGCGGCGACTTCTTTGTCTTGTGGAAGCAGCATCTATGATGGAACTGCGGCGGTCAGCGGCAAGGCGGCCCACAGCAGTTCCCGACGAAGCTTTCGGCGTCGTAGAGTGGCTGACCTGCTTCCTTCCATCATCGACCTCATTCCTCCCGTCTATATCAAGCTGATTGTGGCCCCTTCATCTGCAGCCTTCTCCAATTGCCAAAGGATGATGGTGCATGTACGACATAACCAATCAGAAGGCCAGATTGGGGGCGATTCCTTCGGTGCATGTTTAAAAAAGAGTGTTTTGAAACACTCCCAACATGTACCAATAGCTAGAAGACATGTGGCTCCTTTTTCCACCTCACTTTAATGGAATATAAATTTTCAATTTTAATCCCAAAGACTGATTTGCAATTTTAAATTCTCCCAACTTGAATCATGAATTCTCTAAAATTTTAATATGGAGAGGGTTGAAGGGGACGGCAGAAGAGACGGAGAAAACAAATCAGTCCTTGGGATTAAAATTGAAAATTTATATTCCATTAAAGTGATGTGGAAAAAGAAGCCACATGTCTTGTAGCTATTGGTACATGTTGGGAGTGTTTCAAAACACTCTTTTTTAAACATGCACGGTCCTTCTCCTTTGTTTTGTTCTCGTATTGGGATAGGGTGCAGGTCCGGGAAATACCCACCCGCTATTGAACAGCGATGATGGCATAGCGATTAGTGGCAGCCGGGTGCAAGGCGACCAATTGTAGTAGGTCAGTCGCAAGGCAATCAACAGGGGTCAACAATGAGGCAGATCCAGATCCGGTCTTCAACTGTGGCTGTTGGAGTTCTGTGATCTAGGTGAGGTGACCAGTAGTGCTTCACGGTGAAACGACCAGTGGCGGTCAGCCACGAGGCGACTAGCGGCGGTGAGCGACGAGGCGACCCGCAGCGGCAGGGCAATCCGGGGCTTTCCCTGATAAGGCAGCCCGCGCACAAGTGCCCAGTTTTGAAAAAAAATCAGTCTTGCAATTTACAATCCACGTATGATTTGAAACGAGAAAACACCAGAAGTCCGAGTCTTTCAAATTCCGATTCCTGATCTTGCTCTTGAGAGGAGCAGAGGCTAACAATGGTGTTTATGGCGATTTGCAGTGCAGGCCAATCCGCGATGGAGGCAGGTGCGTGATGATGCAATCCAGGGTCAAGACTTCGGCGGGCTGCCGCACACTATGGTGGGGCGACCGATTGGGATTTCGAGGGGCACCACCAGCGGTATGAAGCTCTGCCAGATCCGGTCATCAATGGTGGCAATTGAAAGTCTTGCGACCTAGGTGAGGTGACCAGCAGCACTCCAGGGCAAAACGACCACCGGCGGTCAGCGGTGAGGCGACCAGCAGCGGTCAGCCGTGAGGCGACTAGCAGCGGTCAGCCCTGAGGCGTGGCATCCATCAGTCGATGGCAACATTGATCCAGCCTAGGGCTTCCAGTGGGGCGTGGCATCCATCAGCGGTGAGCTCATGCTAGCGGTTTCTGTTACTCCTCTCTGTAATTGGATTGTGAGGTGAGCAAAAAACAATTACAGTTCGAGGTGGTGAGTTTTGGCAGCCAGTGTACCGAGCTGCCTCCACCCGCTGGGACAACCTCCCACAACCAACTGCGACAAGGGTGCTGTTTGGGATGGCGACCGGAATGATGCGTGACCTTGGCGACCTGGGGATCCTCTCTAACGCCATTCTAAATAAAAACATGGTGTCGCGGTTGGGATCCTGTCTTCCGACCAAAAACCACTTCGGACAAGAACGAGATAAAGGGAGAGATCTGGTCCGGCAAGGCAGGGAGGCTTCGCTCTGGGGAACCCGTGATATCTAGCCACCAACGGTAGCGACCTCGGGCATCCCTCTCCATGACGGACAATCGTGACCACTCTAACATCGACCCAAAATGTGTTCCGAACAACAGTTTCTCGAACAAGAACGAGACAGAGGGAGAGATCTGGTCCAATGAGGTAGGGACCCCGTGAGATCTAGCCACCATGACGGACGATCGTGACCACTCCAACCTCGTCCCAAGATTCTGTTTCAATCCAATTGGGATTGATCTCATCAGCCCTGTTTCAATCGGACTGTTTATATATAGAAAATATATAAACAAGAATATAAACAATAGACTTTGGCGTGGAAACCAAATCGGTGAAAACCACATATCTTTTTCGGCGGTACCATGCCAACGGAATGTTTTATTATATGTCGGGGGTATATTTGTACAGCATATTGGCCTGGTAGCCATTGATGGAGCTTGAAGCTCCATCGGGAAGGAGATGATGAATGGAGAGAATACAATACCTGTGGAATGTAGAGGGTGACTCCTCCTTTTTGGATTTGTGCCTCTTATATAACTTCAAGACAGGAGCATAGGGTTAGGGTTCCCTAGCAGGCTTCTCTTGTGGACTGGCCCAATATCTTTCCTTAGGCCCAGGGGGTATTATCCCATCAATAATAATAACAAATACTTACAAATAATAAAATAATACTCCGTAATATCTAACAACAACAACAACAACAACAATAATAATAATCATCATAATAATAATAACAATAATAATAGAAGAAGAAAAGAAAAAAAATATATAGAAGAAGAAAAAAAGGGAAGGGACGGGGGGCTGGATGGGATTGAGGGCGTAAAAGAAGTACGAGGAGAAGAAGAAAAGAAAAAAAAAAGAAAAGAAGAAGGAAGGCTGAAAGATGGTGAAGAAGAAGAAAAAGTTAACGGTGATGGGTGTATTCCACCCACGACCGGTCAAAGGAAGAGACCAATTAGTTGACCGGTCAATCTCGAAAGTTTTGGAAGGGAGACTTAAATCATCAGCAAATTGATATGTGATCGGCCCAAATATGACCGGTATACTTCACGAAAAAGTATACCGGTCAAACGACGTTGTCACCCTATTTATTCCCAGACTTCGATGAATTCATCCCTCGGAGATTACCCGGTGTAGTTTCTAGGGTTGGAAAGTGTCGGCAGAGGAGAATCTAAGAGGGCTTGGCGTGTGCGACCCATGTCAGTAGAGGACAACTATAGATGCTGAAGAATCCATCCAAAGCACTACTCGACAAAGGGAATAATCCCCCTCACAAGGCGACAAGGCAGCTCAAGGACGAGACCAGTCACCTCGCACCAGATCAGCAGCATGCCCCCACGTGGGCGCACGTGGTCTTGTCCCCCTTAGCCTAGTATAAATACTCATGTAAACCTCAGAAAGAGGGATCCGAATTCATTCTCTCTAAACTCCCTTGTAAAAGCACCCATGCATTCTCCGTTATAAGATAAATTGGGCTACAGGTGTTCCACCTAAAGTCCTACCGGTCAATCTGCGTGTTTTTACCTTTCTTACTTTGCCAAGTCAAGCAAACTATTCTACACCATCATTTTTGGCGCCACCCGTGGGACCGTTAAGGTTTCTTCTCTTCTAAACACAAACCTACCCACAAAAACACCACTCAAAATGTCTTCAAGCCAACAAATCAACGCTACTTCCACTCAGGTGCAAGCCACCAATGAGGGTACCAGCATCCCTGTAGCTGCTACCCTACCGGTCATTTCAGCCCCGGTGTTGCCTTTGGGTCTGAGCTCCGTCCCAACGCCAAGCGTGATCAGCCCATTCACGACCCCCGTCCCTTCCGCTGGACCAAGGGTCACGTTCCCACCAAGCATGACTCAGTTCATGAATGACACAGCCAACCTACAAGCCATCCAGGGCTTTGGCCAGGTCATGGCCATGTGCCAACAGAATGGGGGGATGCCTTTTCTCCCTAGTATGTTCACGTTCGCTCTTCGAGGCGCGGGAACCATGCCCCTACAAGCTCCAATGACAGTGACGCCGTTCCAGACGCCGATGCCGCAGCCATCACCTTTCCAGCCGCAGCTGGTCAGCACCATGGCCCCTGTCAACTTGACTGGCGCGCTTAACGCTGTAGGGCCGTCGCGTCCCCCGCAAGGTACGAATCCGCAGATCACTCCTGATGGTCATTGCGTCTCAGTTGAGAGCGATGACGGCGAGTGGAACATTCCGAGGGCCCACAAGAAGAAGAAGGGAAAAAACATCCGGCCAGCAACCTCCCGAAACTCCGCCTTCGAAAGGCTAGGGGATAGGGAGGAAGGCCAGAGGAAGTCAGCCAAACAGAGGCTGGGGCAGAGCATTGCTCATGTCAGCGCGTTCGCCCGGTTAGGCGAGGCGCGGGAGGCCGATCCTGCCCGCACCCAGCGCTCCCGGTCTAACCGGCAGGAGCCAGTGAGGACGAGGGCCTCTCGTCAGGAAGAGGAAGCAGAGAGCCAGCCCAGGTTACCGGTGGCGAACCGGTTGACCATCCCAAATGACCGCGTCCAGCAGATGGAGGCAAAACTGGAAAGGCTGGAAAAGAAGGTCGGGGAGAAGAATGACCGGGACAAACCCCTGGCGGGGTCCCCGTTCACCACAAGGGTCCATCTGACACCTTTCCCGCGAAAGGTCAAGATCGACGCCCCTAGATTCACCGGGAAGGAAGATCCGGAAATCCACCTGGACTCCTTCAACCAGAGTGTGACCATGAACGGTTGCACCGATGAAGAAAAGTGCCTTCTTTTCTTCTAGACCTTGCGGAACCGAGCCACTGAATGGTTCAATAAGGTTCGCCCGGGAAGCATTGATTCGTTCAGTGATTTGGCCTCAAAGTTCAAGGCCAAGTTCCAGGAGAATTGTACTAAAAGGAAGAAATTCACCTATCTTAGTACAGCCGGGCAGAGGGAGTCTGAGAACCTTACTCAGTTCCTTACCCGGTGGAAGGAAGAGGTAGACAAGGTGGAAGAGATGGATGACAAAACCGTCTTATCCCTCCTCTTGAATGGCTTGCGTGCCGGAGAACTATACAAGGAGTTCTGCTGGAAACCCCCGGCCACGTACCAAGAGGCCTACCATACTGCATGGGAGTTTGCTGAGGCTGAAACTCAACTCCGGGCGAAGAAAGAAGCTGAGCATGGTTTCAAGCCCAAGCCGGTGCAAGTCAAGAAGGAAGAAACACCGAGATCCAGCCGACCAAGGCACCACTATGACCCGGTCGTCCGTATGGTCAATACGGAAGAATGCCAAGAAATCCAGAAGGCACCGGTCATTCCTCCGGAAAATCCTACCGGTCAAACAGGGCGGCAGTGGTCGGGCACCTATTGTTCGTACCACAGGTCAGATTCCCATAACACCTCTGAATGCAAAAGTGTTAAGGGGGTCATCCGGCAGATGATAGACAGTGGAGAACTGGGCAAGGATTACTTGCAGAAAGCCCAGGAGAAGAGTCACCAATGGGTTAGGCCAGCTGCCCCGGGAGATGACCGGGACAACGACCGGCAGAGGAATAACCGGCCAAGGGAGCGGCAACCTGCTCCTGAGAAAGAGCATATCGGAATGATCTTCGGCGGGTCTGAAGGTGGAGATTCAACCGTGCAACGGAAGAACTGGGTCTGGAGCATTTACGTTGGTGAGGTAAGCGCTGAACCGCCCAGGCGTAAGCATACTCGGAGGGAGCCGATCGTCTTTACTGACCGGGATCTTCCTCCTACCGGTGAAGATCACAATGATCCATTGGTCATCACCATGGACATTAATGGGGTGGATGTCGCCCGGGTACTTGTTGACACCGGCAGCAGTGTCAACATCTTATACGTGGAGACTTTCCAAAAACTCAGGTTGTGTCGGACACAACTTGAACCCCTCAAAACCCCTCTCTCAGGCTTCACGGGAGACACCGTTGAAGTTGAAGGATCCATAGTTCTACCGGTCGAACTAGGATAGGGTGAGAAGACCGTGTGGAAGAAGATGCGATTCATTGTTGTGGACATTAAGTGTGTCCACAACGCAATTCTTGGAAGGCCAGGCATCAATAGAGTCGGGGCGGTGATTTCCATGCCTCATCTATGCATGAAGTTCCACACTCCAGGTGGTGTGGGTGAGGTGAAGGGTGACCAGAGGAATGCCCGGGAATGTTATGCCCGGGCAGTCAAGAAGATGACCAAGGGGGTCAATGTCATCTCCCAAGAGATCGCAAAGGGAGAGACCTGGGAGAAATTGGAGCCCGAGGCCGAGACGGTGGAAATCGAACTTCACCTGGGTGATTCTTCGAGGATGGTCAGAATTGGGGCAAATCTCCCCGAAGATCTGAAGGCAGAGATTACACGGGTCCTCCAAGAATACGTGGGCATATTCGCATGGAGCGTGGCGGATATGCCCGGAATAGATCGCTCTGTTATCTGCCACCGGTTGGCCGTGAGGGAAGGAAGTCGACCGGTACGTCAGAAGAAGCGGTACCTGGCCAGCGACCAGCGAGACTTGTCAAGAATGAAGTGAAGGACCTCCTCAGTGTTGGTCACATCCGGGAAGTCAAATACCCGGGTTGGCTTGCCAACGTTGTCCTTGCTCCCAAGGGCGACACGTGGAGAATGTGTGTGGATTATACGGACTTGAACAAGGCTTGTCCGATGGATTCATACCGCCTTCCCAGTCCAGATCAAATGGTGGACGAAACTGCGGGGTGCGAACTCCTAAGTTTTATGGATGCCTTCAAGGGTTACCACCAAATCTACATGGCCAAGGAAGATGAAGAGAAGACGTCATTCCTCACACCCGAAGGAACCTACTGCTATCGGGATATGGCGTTTGGCTTGAAGAACTCAGGAGCAACCTACCAGCGCATTGTGAACACACTCTTCAAGCCACTGCTGGGAAAGACCATGGAGGCATACGTCAACGACATGCTAATCAAAAGCCAGGTATCTCTCAACCACCCGGCTGATATGCGAGCCACGTTCGATATCATGGCAAAATACAATCTCTGGCTGAATCCTAAGAAATGCGTCTTCGTGGTTCGTACCGGGAAGTTCTTGGGCTTCATGGTAACCAAGAGAGGAATAGAGCCCAACCCAGAGAAAATCCGGGCCATCACTTAAATGCAAGCCCCTACCTCCGTTAAGGATGTTCAAAAGTTGACCGGTCGTCTAGCGGCCCTCAGCCGGTTCCTTTCCCGGTCAGCTGAGAGATCCCTGCCCTTCTTCAAAGTTCTGAAGAAGGCCAACACATTTTCATGGGACGAAGAATGCCAGAGGGCATTTGAGGAGCTGAAAGAGTACCTAGCGTCGGATATTGTATTGTCTAAACCCGAACCGGGTGAAACTCTGTATCTGTACCTGGGAATTTCCCCAAATGCTGTCAGCTCCGTTTTAATAAGAGATGATGGGGCACAAAAGCCCATTTATTATGTGAGCAAAGCACTAAACGGAGCTGAGAGTAGGTATACGGCGATGGAAAAGATAGCCTATGCGCTTTTCATCTCCGTAAAAAAAGTTAACATCCTACTTCCAAGCTCACCCGGTGGAAGTCTTGACTGACCAACCGCTGGGTGCAGTGTTGCGAAATTCAACATCCTCCGGGAGGATGGTGAAGTGGGCAATGATGTTAACTCAGTTCAATATTGAGTATCGGCCAAGGTCGGCAATCAAGGGACAGGCCCTTGCAAACTTCCTGGTAGAAATGACCGGTCTAACCCCTGACCTACCGGTCAACAAACCCGCTGAGCAATGGTGGGAGATGGCAGTTGATGGGGCATCCGGTCCTAGAGGATACGGGGGCGGTATCGTGTTCACCATCCCAGCCCAGAAGGGTTCAAGATCTACCATGCAATCGTCTTCAACTTCAAGTTGACGAACAATGAGGCGGAGTATGAAGCTCTGGCTGGAGGGCTCAGGCCCTGAAAATCAGCCGGGTCAGTATCAAATCTGACTCTAGCCTGATTGTTGGGCAAGTGACCGGTAATATGGAAGCAAGAGAAGGACGCATGGCACAATACAAGGACCTTGTACTTGCCCTGCTGAAAGGCTTCGAAGAGTTCAAGATCGCCCAAATTCCCTGGGCGGAAAACGCGGATGCAGATCTTCTCTCCAAGTTGACGCAGTATGCTCCCGAGCATGTTTCAAAACTTGCCCGGGTGAAAATCCTGGATCGAGCCAGCATCGAAAAATTGGAAGTCGCCGCTATAACAGCCGGAAGTCAATCTGACCGGTCAAACTTGGTCGGGGCGGATGACCACTGGATGTACGATCTAATGGAATATTTGATGGATGGGAGCTTGCCAGAACAAGATGACCGGGAAAGAAAAGTGAAGCTCAGGGCACCCCGATTCCAGGTTCTTGATGGAAAGCTGTATAAAAGGGCATTTGGGGGGCCACTCCTGAGATGTCTAACCAACCGGGAGGCTGAGCGAGTCATAGCGGAGGTCCACGAAGGCGTATGCGCGGCGCATCAAATGTCCCGTACGCTTTCCCAGCGCATCATTTTATTGGGGTATTACTGGCCGACAATTGTCCAGGATTGTGAAAGGTATGTTCAGAAATGCAGGACATGCCAAGTATTCTACAAGTATCCCGGTAGACCGGCAACCTACTATCACCCAGTATCGAATGTCATCCCGTTCGTAATTGTAGCCATCGATTACTTCACCAAATGGATCGAGGCCGAAGCATTGGCCAACATCACCACGCAGCAATGCAAGAAATTCATTTGGAAGAACATCATCACGAGGTTTGGAGCGCCCTTGAACCTCATCATCGACAACGGCCCACAATTCCGAAATCCAAGATTCACCGAATACTTGAAGGGCTTCGGAATCAAGCACAATCGCTCCTCGGTAGCGTACCCCCAAGGGAATGGCCAAGTCGAAAACGCCAACAGAACGATTGTGGATGGTCTAAAGAAACGGCTGGGAGAAGCAGGAAACAAGTGGCTGGAAGAGCTCCCACACATCGTATGGGCATTCCGAGTAACACCCAGGAGGGCTCACGGGGAAACTCCATTCTCCCTAACCTATGGGTGTGAAGCAAGGCTGCCCATCGAAGCTGAATTCCCAACGTTCCGGGAATCAAATTATCAGCCCCAGCAAAATGAAGAAGACCACTTGGCCGAGCTCAACTTGGTCGAAGAACGAAGAATGGCCGCGGAGGTTAAAATGAGTACATACCAACAAGTTGTGAAGAAGTACCATGACAACAAGGTTGGGCTGCGGTACTTCCAAGTTGGAGATGAAGTCCTACGAAGAAGAGAAGCAAGTAGACCCGGCAATGGAGGAAAGCTGGCAAAAAACTAGGAAGGCCCATACAGGGTTAGAGCCATCATTCGACCAGAACCTACCGGTTAGAAACTTTAGATGGTGTACCGATAGAAAGAACTTGGAATTCCCACCATCTTCGCAAGTTCTACAAATGATTGTAATACTAGGCGAGGCCTAACTACATTATCAATCAAAGTGATGTTCAATACTCTACTTGGTAGCGGCGGAATTGATAGGTCGAACCTATCCTAGGAGGGCTTCCCGGGTGGATCGAATCCACTTGGATAAGCCAACTGAGACACAGGCCCGGACCTGGCCCGCTGGTTACTACACCGGTCTTGCTCAGTATAATAGAAAAAATATTAAAACCCGGAAGAGGGGCCCGGAAGAGGGTATGCCTGCAAGAGGGCTGGACCTGGAAGAAGGTTCGAACCGTACTTACGCGGGCCCATGAGGTTTGACCGGCATCGGGGAATCAGCCGGTACCGTCAAATTGATTGGGGACTAAAAGATGCCCATTAAAAGAAATAGAAGGGGATCGTCCACCGTGGCGCATCCTGTTTCCCCCTTCTCAGGGAACACTTGAACGGTTAAGGATACTTCAAGAATTACTAGGTTACAAGTGTTTCCATCTACAACCTACCGGTCAACAAAAAAAAAAAGAATACCCCGGTCGGGTATGGGCACAACAGAACTTCGAAAGTTCTACAAGGCAAGGCAGTTGACCTGTGAGACCATGGAGTGGAACCTACCGGTCAAACTGTACTTTATCAAAGAATTCGTGAAGCTATCTAAAAAGCCAAAGTAAGGTTCAGCTCGTTCACTCTAGTTCAACCGGGTTGGACTTAGCGTATTCAAAAACAAGCCAAGAAAGCGAAAATTGAAGTTTGACCGGCCCAAGTTACTCGGGCTGATCCTTGAGATAAAGTGATCAGAGAGAACTTTGAAGTTCTGCCGGTCGGAAACAATTGAGAAGTGGTCTGATTTATTTACCGGTCAGAATTTATAAGAAGCAAGAGCAAAGTATAAATCAACAAGCAAGCAGATATGAAAGATTAACCAATAAGGAAATTAAACATGGCATTCAAACGGAACAAGCATGTTAAATGTTTAGAGATACACCGGGCATTCCCAGGGAAATGAGTTCAAAGTTTTACAAGATAATTCAACCGGGCGCAGCCGGGGAGATCAGTCAAGGGGAAATGGGGGAGTTGGCTCTTCCTCCGGGATGGGAGCCAGGCCGTAGGAAGCCACAGTGAAGGCCGGGTCTCTCTTCAGGAGGATCCGGTGGGAGGCTGCCCGGTCTTTCTTTTGGCCGCTTTTGAATCCGAAGGACCCAATTTCCGTTATCATCTTCTTTCCTTCAGGCTCCCGGTATAGAAGCCTGAAGGATTCCATGGTGGCCTCTGGGCTCGCCGTCAGCACCCGGGCAGCTTCGGCCTTATTTTCCTCAACCCAGGCAGCTGCGCGCCCGGGGAAGTTTTCTTCCTTCTCCGCCATCTCCCTTTTTGTTTCGGAGACCTTGTCCAGCAGCTGGCCGTTCTCCTCCTTCAACCGGGTGTTCTCTGCCCCCAAGGACCCGACCATCTTTGACAACTTGGCCAGCTCATCCGTTTGGCTCTTTAGGATGAGGGCCAGCTCTTCGTTCTTCTTCTTCAGCCTGGCCACCTCAGTTGGAGAGTCCATTCCCAACCGGTCGGCGGTGATGGGCCCAATCTCCCCAACCCGCACAACGTACAACAACCCGGTAAATCTTTGTGTAACGTAAGGGAAAGGTTGACCGGTTATGAGAGATGACTTACCTCCCTCAGCCGCAGACCGAGGTTGATGTAGGCTTCCTCCACGGTCTGATGGGCCGCACCAGGATCTGTCCTCTGCCTCTTGTTCATGGCAGAGGGATGGTTGGTGGCCACCTTCTTGGTCCGACGACCAGTCTTCTCTTTCTCCTTCCCCTTAGACCGGTAGTCTTGCGGTTTGTCCTCATCCAAAATCTCCACGGTCTCTTGATTGACCGGGAAGGTTTTGGTAGGGTTCGCCTGGGAGCCCCCGGTTTCTCCCGCTGGTTGGTCATCGGGAATGGCAAACTCCTCGAACTCCATATCTGCAGAAGAAACTAAAACCGTTAAGTACAAGGAACGATACCGGTCAACTATGAATCACAAGAAAAATGAGAAATACCTGGGTGGTTCTGGCCCTCCGCCTCTGCAGTGTTGCCCGGGGAGGGTACCCCGCGCCCCGCTGCTTCATGGGCCTGGGAGGTACCCTCACCACCCGACTCCACCCTCCAAACCCAGCTGCCATAATGGAAGACCCTCCCGGTTAAAGGATCCCCGCGCATGAGGACCTCAAGATTCGCTTCCAAGTCAGGGGAGGAAGCCGGTGCAGCGTACTCTTGGTCGAGGAGATGGTCGTTCCATTTCAGACCGGCCAAAGGAGTGACGAAGGGAGGAAACTCGATGAAAACAAATATTTCCTTCCATCCCCGGTTACTCTGGGGGACTTCAGAAATGAACTTCCTACCGGTACGGGCTTTGAAGAATACAAAACCTTCGCAGCCAGTCCCGCCCGGTAGGACTTCAAAGCAAAAAAGGAAAAGACGCAAGGAGGGGACGATTTTCAGATGAGTGCAGATATTCACAAAGGAATGAAGATACCGGTGGGCGTTAGGGGTTATTTGGCTGGGTAAAATCCTAAACGCATGGCATACTTCGGTTAGGAGCGGGCGAAGAGGAAAAACGATGCCCGCTTCTAGGGAAATCGTGTGAAACCCTATCCTATCCTCCCGGTGGGACTCAACAATATTAGACCAATCATGTTCATACAAAAGGGTATACCCATCCGGGAGCCTCCTACGGATTTTGTTCAAAGCAATTTTGGAAACATGGGAGGGAATGTCAAGGACGTAGAAGGTGGGGAGCGGAAAGTAACCGGCGGCATGGAGCCGCTCCTCCCACGCATCCCGGGTTTCGTTTTCAGGGTCGTAGGGACCCGGTTCGTCATCAACCGGGTCATCCCTCCCCATAAAAACTTCACCGGGCATCTGATTAACAGGTTGCGGGTCGGGAATAGAGGAGTTGGGAACCTAACCGGGCATGGAGTCAGGAGAAGAAGACCCGGTCGAGGAAGATGAGTTGGAATCCTCAGAGGAGCAGTCCTCTGAGGACGAAATCCTATTGCTAAAAGAAGACATGACCGGGAAACAAAGTAGAGAAGGAAGGGGAAACTTACTTGACTCGGAGGGCTGGATAGCGAAAGAGAAGGAACTTGACCGGTGAAAGCTCTGAGACTTGATTGCAGAAAGTGAACAAAGCAGAGGGGTGGAGGCCTTTATATAGGCGAGGATGAACTGAGCGAGGGCGACATGGCTTCCTCTAGGCACGCCGCGTCAGGCGGCGCCATCATGACACCTGAGGGAGGCGAACGGACGCAGGGAAAGCGCATCCAGCGCGCGGCACGTGTCCAACGAATACTTTTCAAATTCAAAATTTGAAATATTCTAGCGGGAAACGGACAGAAATTCAAAATTTGAACCTATTTTCAAGATTTTTTACTTCCCGCTCATGACAAATTGCATGACCGAGAAGTGGAGGGCTTATTGATGGGTGTATTCCACCCACGACCGGTCAAAGGAAGAGACCAATTAGTTGACCGGTCAATCTCGAATGTTTTGGAAGGGAGACTTAAATCATCAGAAAATTGATATGTGATCGGCCCAAATATGACCGGTATACTTCACGAAAAAGTATACCGGTCAAACTACGTTGTCACCCTATTTATTCCCAGACTTCGATGAATTCATCCCTCGGAGATTACCCGATGTAGTTTCTAGGGTTGGAAAGTGTCGACAGAGGAGAATCTAAGAGGGCTTGGCGTGTAGCGACCCATGTCAGTAGAGGACAACTGGAGATGCTGAAGAATCCATCCAAGGCACTACTCGAGAAAGGGAATAATCCCCCTCACAAGGCGACAAGGCAGCTCAAGGACGAGACCAGTCACCTCGCACCAGATCAGCAGCATGCCCCCACGTGGGCGCACGTGGTCTTGTCCCCCTTAGCCTAGTATAAATACTCATGTAAACCTCAGAAAGAGGGATCCGAATTCATTCTCTCTAAACTCCCTTGTAAAAGCACCCGTGCATTCTCCGTTATAAGATAAATTGGGCTACAGGTGTTCCACCTAAAGTCCTACCGGTCAATCTGCGTGTTTTTACCTTTCTTACTTTGCCAAGTCAAGAAAACTATTCTAGACCCGGCCTAGTATAGTTTGACCGGTCAAGTAATTTACACCATCAAACGGAGAATGGAAATTGACGGAGAGAATGACGGATTGTCACCCTAGAGTAACTTTTTGGAAATTTTAAGGTACACCAGAGTACATTTTGAAAAATAATAGGACCTGCGAGTTCTTATCACAAAATTGAGGGTACCTAGGAGCAATTTTTTGGATTTTTTTACTTATTTAATATTGCTAGTGTGATGCTCTAGCTACTTAAGCATTGTATAATGTCAACTGATATCATCTCTTAAAGATTGTAATTTTTTATGTTGCCAATGTAATGCTGGTATTTTTCTTTTACAATTTTGATGTTGGCATTGTGTGTTGCCAATTTATAGTATTTTTGGATTTTTTTTTGAATTTTATAGCACTTTTTATAACAAAAATTTGATTTTGGCATTGCATAGCACATTTGTTTGTAGTGTCTCTGTGCATTAGTGGTGTTTTTTTATAACATTATGGCTTCTTTTTGGCTATGTATTTGATGGACAATAAATCCACCAAATGATCCGATTTACAGAGCGGATCGCAAGAACAAAATTAAGAACAAGAATTCGAGAATTGGATGTGTATTACTAGCTTGATTTAGCTTTAGTTCTCCCCTTTCGGGTCCCTTCTATTTATACATGAGCTCTCAACAATTAAGGTGAAGCATAACCGATGGAGTCTAGCCCGCCAAGGGCGCGATCCCCTTTTCCCGGCTCCGTAACGGCCAATCAGCTCCGTCTCCTTCTCCGGACTGACTCTGCCAGCTGCGCTTGGCCTCAGGTTAACTAGGCCCAGCTCCTTGGGCCGGCCCAGCTTGAGTATTTCACAGGTGCTTGACCCGAAGCTGTTTAAATGGTTCATTTGGGCCGTCCTCTGGATATCGGCCCATCATAAGCCCCCCAACTCCTCAGTCCTCAGCTGGGCCAAGCGGAGGAGTGGGGAGTTTGCAAAGTCCACGTGGACGCTCCAGCGGGGATCCGGGCCGTTCCTTGGGTTCCGCACGACACTTGGGCACGATCTCCACAAATAAGTAATCATGGCCTGCC